ACAATATTGTGTAGGAAATCATAAATTTTCTACTGTGTAGTGGTAGTAAGCGACATAGAAGTTTAATTTATTATGGAATAAAACATTAAAAAGACGACTTTCTAATTTGTGTATATATTCAAAAGTCTCATCCGTCTTCTATCACTGTATATATTGATAAGAAAACTTGTAATTGCTTCATCAAAAGCAGAAATTTCTCGGATAGTAAAAGCAGTATATGAAAATAGAAGTAAAGTGAATAATGATAATATAGTTGGAGACAACGAGAAGACGGATACAGCAAATATCAGGGACTAATGTTTCAGCATGAGCACCATTGAATCGGAAACAAACGTGCAAATGTAGGAGTCAAACTTTTCATCTTGGGTACCATTTCCTGGGAATGCAATAACTGTAGATAGGTATCGTAGTTACTGCTGTACAAGGCCGATTGTTCCTGATCGCTCCGGTGGCCTAGTGGCTAGAGTGTCCGCTTCGGATACGGAAGGTCGTGGGTTCGATCCCCGGTCGAGTCATACCAAAGACTTAAAAAATGGTACTAATATATGCCTTCCTTGGCGCTCAGCATTAAAAGGTTAGTGTTAGGACTGGTCGGCCTGGTGTCAGGATAATGTGACTGGGTGGGATATCATGCTACAGGTCTGCGGCATGATGCCCAAGTGCGAGACATCACAATAAACTGCCACACTGCAGACATCGTAGCGATATGACTGAAAAATTGTTAAAGCTACGTTACAAGTCCAAATCTCCTCTCTCTCTCTCTCTCTCTCTCTCTCTCTCTCTCTCTCTCTCTCTCTCTCTCTCTCTCACACACACACACACACACACACACACATAGACGCACGCACACCGATTGTTCCTGATGCAATATTAACTGTTTCCTTCATCGAAACATTCCTCAGCAAATCTGAAGAAAGATTACGATCTTTTCATCATGCCAAGCAAAATTTTAACTTTGAAAGCAATGTATTGCAAACCTAAAGTTAAATACTTGTGTTAAATTTTAAAGCGATTTTCTGTAACACTTATAAAACACCACGGTATTATATCAAATATGTGGTCTGCAAATAAACCGGACGATTTGTATGAGGTTAAACGGACACGATTGCGAATGAATCTACTATCTTATCGCTGAGGATTGGTGATGACGATTGCTCTAACAACTTTGACCTGTGTCTGAAGAAGAGTTGTGCATTGTATAATAATCTCTAATTGACTTACCTGTGAGCTGCATATGTATGGGTGAGTTGATCGCCCTGTCCCACACTAGCTACAGGAATATATTTCCCAAGAATGAGACTAGCAAGACTGTTTATCAGTGACGACTTGCCAACAGATGGAAGGCCTACAAGCAAAATATTCTTCACTTTTTTCTCACTCCCTAAATTCCTTATTATTTCATCCAACATTCGACCATTTTGATCACGTACTCTTTCTGTAAAGAAATCGTTGATCATTACTGAATCATATTTTAAAACAAAATATTGTTTCTCATGAAAAGACCATAGTCTGTCAAATGAAAAGACAACAACAGATCCGCGTGCCTAATATAAGGTTTACAAATATGAATATAGACTAAGTAGTATTATCCACATTTTTCACCCTAACATTCGACTCTTTGACAGCTGTGAAAATAGTATAAGGAATCATATGCTGGAATGTGTTGACAGATTTTAAGCAGATTGCGCGCTTTAACTCGTCAAAATTAGCATTATCATATTTTTGTGATGATTGGCAAAATACATCATTATATGACGGCCTGTTTGTTTTGATAATAAATTAAGACGTCAACTAAGTTATCTATGTAGGTTATCATAGCAGAACATTTCAACTGTTATTGCAATTGAAAGTTCATCCTATCCTTTTCATATGGTTTCTAGACCGTTAACGCAAATTTATTTAAATAAATAATGTATTTCTAAATATTGATTTGTAAAAGTTTGGACGGCCATATAGCTACGTTTTTCTTTCTACAGGCTAATATCTATTTTGATTCATATCACCGACAGGTAAAAGAACAAGGAAAAAAACTGAATTTGAAAGACTTTATACTCGCCAAAGAAAAAAATAAAAGAATAATTATATAAATACATAAATATCAGCTAAATTAGATATTTTCTGATAACACTGAAAAACGAATGCCACAACTAATGTAAAAACGCATGTGGCTTGGAAGTTTAAAACTGCTGTATTTATTAATACATCGTTTTAGTGCTGTGGGGAAAGCATGGGAATGACGTTCCCGTACTTTTTTTGCGCTGGTCATTGTCCCTCCACATTTGAGTAACATGCATTCCCCCACTTCTTTACTGTGTTCTTTAGCTTCATTATTTAGCACTACACCACTGACTAAAAAATGATTTTAAAATATTCGCTGAACCACTGACTAAAAAATGATTTTAAAATATTCGCTGATGTAAATGTTGTCTATGGTAGATGCCTATTAGTACTTATTTATGACGATGCCTATTAGTACTCAATTATGACGATGCCTATTAGTACTCATTTATGACGATGCCTATTAGTACCCATTTATGACGATGCCTGTTAGAACTCATTTATGACGATGCACGCTGACATAAACTCTTGTTATTCGTGGGTTTTTTTTTTGGGGGGGGGTGTTAGTTAATAACATAAATGATAAATGCCCAGACATGTTTGACTTCTACTTACCTAGCATAGCAAGATCTGGAGTTACCGATCTCGTTCGCACTTGCTGCATGTTCATACTGAGAAATGTAGCAGAGTATCGGCCAGATTAGTTCCTCTTTCTGTTGCTGGAGGAAATTCCCATTTTCCTTTCTAATTCCACGAAGCTTTGATTATTATCGCTACTTGTCAGAGTGACCGCCTCGAGGGATTTGTCAAGCAAGCCAATAGAATAACAAGCCGTTTTGAATGCGGTCATAAATTCATTGAAGAACAAGGTTGTTAGGAATGTGACCAAATTACACCCAACACAGCTACACTTCACGAATTAGCCTCGTTCAAGTGTCACGCCAGATTCAACTTGTGTAGATTAAAATATTAAACATGTTTGCACCAAAGCGAGCATACGACTCACTTTCTCTTTCTGATTCGCATGACACTTATAAAACACTAAATACTGGTAGACATGTCTATCTTATACAACCTTTCTCATTACATTGTATCCCTTTCGATTGAACTAGTAACATGTACATTTGATACGATGCAATGAAATTAAGAAATATAGCCAGGAGTGCAGGAGTTCTTCCCCTTGAACAATTTTTTTTTTTTTTGTTTTTTCATTATTTATTTCAATTTTTCTGTAAGGTCTCACTAGAGAGTTTATCTGGTGAATTTTCATCCGATAATTACCTATTGCAGAAAAATGAGAATAATTTTACACTGAAGATGCAAAAAAAAAAAAATAAACTAATGATTTTTGTAGAAAGCATACATGTGAGATCTTGACTGGCAATCAAGTTAATTCTTTATACAACTGGTGTCTTTCTGTCTTTCATACTGAACCAACACTGCCACCAACCCCTTTTTTAACATTCGATTTTGACAGCAAAGAGTTTTTATGAATATTTTACTGTGACAAGGCAGCTAAAAGAATCAGTATGTGCCGTATGCATTAATAAAGTGCTCAAGTACTATAATAAATTAGCATACTTTTCATCACCCTCAACCATCTTGATTTATAGATATTTATCTCTGTAGTAGACATACGTAAACATGTAAGCTAAGTCGGCTATTCATTTACAGCCGAAGTTACGTTTTTGCTCTTCGCTGCTAGTCTAATAGTGACAGGCAGTCACCAAAGAAGCCATGGGGTTGTCAATTAATTATGTTAACAAAATAGGGGGCTTGGCGTTTGAAAAAGTTTGACAAATGTTGATATGGGGCAGGGGGGAGTTCAAGATAAATTGATGTCAACAATGTTATTTGCTTGCAATAAATTTAACAAATAAAAAAAAAAATTGGTAGGTGCGTTTGTATCTCTCTCTCTCTCTCTCTCTCTCTCTCTCTCTCTCTCTCTCTCTCTCTCTCTCTCTCTCTCTCTCTCTCTCTCTCTCTCTGTTAGCCAAGTAAAAAGTGTATTTTTTGTAGATCTTTTCATTTCCATAATTCTATTTTAGCATAAGAGCCAGTCGTATAAAATATTCTTAGTTTGTAAGAGGGGGGGAGATACACTTTTTTTTACATAATTTTATTAGAGGGGTCACTGAAAGTTTGACAGTTGTTGACAAGGGAGGGGGTAAAATTTGACTAAAAACTTTGACATAATTATTGGACGTCCCCAACCCATTTTCAAGTCTAACTCAAAGTAAATCTAAACCACATTACAGATTTAGTTTCTGTGTGAATTTATAAATGTTATGCTTATGATTCTTAGGTAATGCCTACTGCCTTACAAATTAACGTTGCTAATCGTATGGACGCCACTCCATTTTGTACGATGGCCGATAGCAGCCGACAAAATACAACATTATACAGGTACACATTTTGCTCAAATGTGCACATGTACAAATCTTCAACACTCACAAGTAAAATTAATTAAAGATATTCCTTGCGCGGTAATAAATTAGAAAGAACAATTCACATTTCTGAGATGGACTTAACCTCTCTGATTATTTATTTGTTTGAAACAGGTTACATTGGTCTGTGTTAGCAAGAAAGCGGGAGAAAATCTAGATGCCATTTATCTCAAAATAAATTTTACAATCTTTAATCACTAGCTCAGACACATTCTCTTGTTTAACAACCTCTACATACATAGGCATTTGTGTGATGTGATGGGATTATGATTTTTACCGTAGTTTTCACAATTGTTCAGTCATATCGCTACCATGTCTGCAGTGTGGTAGTTTATATTGATGTCTAGCACTGGAACATCATGCCGCAGACATGTAGCATGATGTCCCATCAAAGTCACATTATCCTGACACCAGGCCGACCAGTCCTAACACTAACCTCTTAATGCTGAGCATCAAGCGTGGCAGCTGTTAGTACGTTTTTGTAAGTCTTTGGTATGACTCGACCGGGGATCGAACCCACGACCTTCCGCATCCGAGGCGGACGCTCTAACCACTAGGCTATCGGAACGGTATAGTTGTATTTGTCTAAGAGTATGCTATTTCTCTGTAGCCAACGGTATGTGGCAAATCAGGTTATTGTTGTTATAGGGTTCAACACAATTTTTCATCACGATTTAGTCTATACACTGGGGCCAGTGTGAATGGTGGAGTAAAAACCCGGAGAAAAAAAAAAACAGAAAGAACCACCGATCCACGAGAAGCTACTGGCAAGCTTTCTCACATACCTACATTGGCCGAGCCCGGGACTTGAACCCACGCAGACAGAGGTGAGATGGCAGCAATCCATATGACAAATCGGTAATAATGACTGGGATGAAATAGAATAAACAAAATGCTGGATAGAAATAACATGCAGATTTGTACATGTAGCCATTCTAGCAAAATGTGTACAATTAAAAACTTCTATAACTTAATGTTTATATCTATCAAGTACACATCCGAACTAAATGTGTACATGTACAGGTTTCTCTTATTTTAATATGTAGATCAGTCACGTACAAAATGTGTACATGTACAAATTCATGTTATTTGATGTTGTATTCTGTCAGCCGCAATCGATCATTGTAATTTTGCATAGCACTCCACTGCTCTTTTGAACTTTGTAAAGTGCATGCCTGTCTCCTCTTTGATGTTATCTTCCCCTCTCTTCTTATGTATGCCTTGTTTTCTCCTTTGTCTCACAGTGCCATGTAGGATTATGTTTGATAAGCCAGATGAGCGTGAGACGTGACCATACCATCATAGCTGACGTTTCTTTAAAGTGGTGAGCAGATATTCATATGGTCCGATTGTACCTTAGATTCATTTTTCACTTCCTCATTAGAGACGTGGTCTAAGTATAAGAGTTTTAGGATTGGTGGATAACATTTCATCTCCAAAACATATTTCCTTCTCTCTAGTTCTGTTGTCAGGGTCTCTGTCTCACTTATATATAGGAATATTGATATGATGACGGAGCACATAAACATGAACTTGGAGCAGAGCGTTATGATGATGTCCTTCCAATAGGCGTCTGCCTAGCCATGCAGTTTGCTGAACCCCTAAAAGTTATCAGGTTTTCATTGTTTATTAGAGGTTAGAGCACGTACATTCTTTAAGCTTATCACTGTGCCCATCTTCTGTCTCTTCACTCTTATTTCATTTTGGATGCCACACGGGTTATATGTCATTAGCTTGGTCTTTACAGTACTGATGTCCATCCCATACCTTAGTGATACTTGTTTCAGACTATTCATTAAGGTTTCAAGTTCTTCTTCATCTTCTAAGCCATCGATATCAGCAGCAAAGAGCAAGCTGGTATTGTTCTGCCTCAAACACTAGCATTGCCATCGTGGTCTTCCAAAATATTGGATATGGTCATTTCCAGGTAGATGTTACATAGAGTGGGTGAGAGAAGGCATTACACTCTGACTCCGACTGTGGTTCTGAATCAATTTCCTATCTTGCATTGATGAGAACTGCACTAGTCTTCTTATTTTCTATTGTACTGATTATTTTTGCGTTTGTGTTGCATATTAACATGCTGCCCACAAGGCTGCATGCGATGCTTGTCGACAGGTTGTTGATGTCAATGAATATGTGATAGAGATCATGTTGATACTTTTCACAGTGGATTCTAAGATTGAAAATCAGATTTCTAGTGCTACGTTCTGCTCTGAAACTTTCCTGTTCTTCAGCATTGATGTGCTATGCTTGGGCTTTTATTCCGTTGAGGATGATCTTAAGCAAAACCATGCTTGAGTGACTCGTGAGGATAATTTTCTTTCGTATTGAGAGGGATGGTCAGAGACTGGGTCCATCGGGTGGGACATCTTTCTGTTTACCATATAATGTTGAAGATTGTAGTGAGGACATCTATCACAGAGGTTCCTCTTCTTTGACCACGTTCTGCTGATTTATGATCTACACCAGATGACACCCATTTAATTTGAACCTTTTTTGCTGCCTCTACATCTTTTCTGAGGTTCGAGTGGTCAACCTCAGTTGTAGTCACCAAATGTTTCCAGGTTGTAAAACTCTGTCCATCTATTAAGAATCTCCTGTTCTTCTGTAAGACTCTTACCAGTCATGAAGTTCAAAAAGTGCTAAGAACACCAGAGTAGGGAAGTAACCTATCGTTTAATCAAAGATAGCTCTGCCCTCACCTTTGCATATTTATTCTTAATTATTATTTTCTTTTTCAATCTTTAACCCACAAAAGGGCGTGCGTATCAAACTCAGATTTATACTAATGTCATCTAATAATGAATGTCGAATTTTACTACTGTTTTCATTAGCATGTTCTACAATGAAACCCAGGTAACAGACGCTCATCTCCAAATAAATAAATAACAAATGTCACATTTGTTAAGCCTCAAATATAAAGTCATGTACAAGCAATTTATAATATACAATCTTGAGAATATTACTGCAGCCATGTGTTTTATGTTTAAAGGTTGCCGTGAGATAGTGTTAATCTCTTACGCATGGTTACATGACCGGCCAGAGACCCAGAATCTTGAATTGGCAAAGACGATAGATCTCACTATTTAACAAAGGCTTGTAGGATATCACATCTACGTATTAAATATTAGTACTAAGGTCAGAAGTAAGCCCTTGGGGTGAGTTGGGCGTGTTCTCATCCATCCACACGTTGACAAACATTGTCCTCTAGGTTTGATTGGATCGGCCCACAGCGTAATCCAATCAAAATTTCAATGGAGGACGTGACTACGATTCGACACGAATTATACCTTCTCACTTGTAAACTTAAAGTTGAGCGGAATGAGTGTATATCGAAATTTGAATCATTTGACTGTTGAATTGTTATTAAATTTTTATTCATTGAATTTCAAACTTTTTGTATATTTAACCATCTAACCGTTGACATTGCTGAATAGGAGCTCTGATCTTTACACCCATCTTTCACTAAATTTAACTTTCAACAAAATCGAGCCTGGGTGGGACGTATAAAATAGTTTAAATAAAATATTAGGAGCACCCAACCCCAAACATAATCTTTTCAGACTTGACACACTGCAGACATCGTACCGAAATGACTAAAATTGTAAAATCGAAATTAAAAAGCTAACAAATACACAAACACACACCTGACAAAATATACCTTTTGAGACGTTTTAGCTGTAGTGTGCATACTCAACGTATGCTATTTTCTTTTATACTAAAGCTACATCAAAACTGCAAAGCCTTTCGAAATATTGATTTGTGGTCATTTAGTGATGTAATTTTCATTTCTTAAGCCATTATCTCAATAATGTATATCTTTACTTCCAAAACCGTATACGCATTTGAAATTAAATCACAGTTTTGAAAAGTAAATACTCTGCAAAGAACAGCTCATCAATCCACAAAGTTCTGATGCAGAATTTAAGGTAAGGTAATACAATATCACAAATCTCTTTGTCTACACTGGATTATTCATGATGGCTTATATATTGAAAACAAATTTCAACACTGGGGAATTCATGATGAATAAGTATTTTGAGAATTAATGTCAACACTGGAGAATTCATGATAAATAATTATATTAAAAATAAATGTCAACTCTTTTGAATTTATTATGGATAAAAATATTAAAAATATATGTCAACACTGGGGAATTCAGAAGAGATGATAATACTGAAAATGAGAGATAGGAAGAAAAGACGCGAAAGTTTGAAGTTTAAACATAGATTGTAGGATTGTCGTGCTAAAATAGAAAGGAAGACGTTACCTAAAGTATAAACTACGCGCAGGTTAATAAAGAGAGATCATCTGGTGGCCGAATCGAACAAGGTGCTCGTTTTTACAGATCATTAGCATGTGTCCTCTGTCTACGGGTTTGAGTCTTGACCTCGGATAATGTGGGTATAATGTGGCAACTTCCCATTGGTCCATTGTTCTTCCCTGGATCTGTTTCTTCTTCCATCAGTTATATTGTCTGCCATATGAAGCCAATCAAGTGCTGCAAAATGTCTTTAAACCAACAACAACAATAACAAAAACAACAACTTAAAAAAGACTTGTGTACAAATGTATGTGAGCCTTTGGGCATTTTTGCTTGATTGATTTGAAAACTAGGTCTTGTTGCAGTCATAAAAATTTCACATTCTTCGAATTGCTGATTAAATAAACGTCAATTTTTCTGCGATCAAATTTTAATGACCAAAACCAATTAATAATATAGTTTGATGTATTCATTAAACAGGAACGGCCTTAGTAAACGCAGGGCCCTCTGGATTCATTTGTGGGGCATCTTGGGAGCACGGCATTTAACTTTTAACCAAGTTTTATGTTACTGAACTGAAGATTTTCTTCCATAGCTTTAAAATCACTTTCACTTTACAGATATATTTTTTTTTAAATTACTAACGCACTTGGCCCATGCCAAATCGATCATCTATCTATCTGTTGACACAGTCACACTAACTATAAAGCAACGGGGGTTAGTGCTTAAAGATAAAGCAAAGACAGAAGTGATAGGAGAGTCAGAAGAGAAATGATAGTAAAGGCACAAATAAGTAAAATAGTGTCAGTGTATGTTTTAATCCCTTTATACTAAGATTAATCCGGCTACTTCAGCGGCAATGCGATAAGGAACCTCAAACGGCATAGCACTGAAAATCACTAGGTCTTACTTGCAGCTGACTAGTTCATTAGAATGTGACATTGGAAAGCTTCTGCTTGTGAGATATCAAGCCAGGAGCTTCTGCAATTATTGGTGGTTATTTTTGCAAGTCCCTAGTGTACATGGAAAGAAGCTGATCTTGAAACAATTTGTCGATGCTGACTTTAATTGAAATTTTCCTGTGGTATGTCCTAGTTTGGCCTGTATGCCAGGGTCAGTTATTTGTCCGTTGGTATGTCCACTAGGTTGTTCACAATCTTGTACAACATGGCCTGTTGGGCTTTGCTTCACTTGAATTCGATTGATTCCCACTGGAGATGGTTCAACATTGCACTGACACTGCTAGTGTTACAATATTTAGTTGTGGTGAATCTAGCAGCTCTCCTCTGAACAATCTATAT